AGAGTGGTAGATGAAGGGAATACACCCAGAACTTTGCTCTAGTCCATCCAGACAGAGTCAGGTCTTCCATTTTGGGTGACCATTCCCCTTGAGACACAGAAGCCAAACTCCCATCAGCCACTGGGTCTGATGCCATAAGGACTGGATAGTTGTGTGTCCCATTCCACTAGCATCCCTTCCAACATCCCAGCCCTTAAACACCGATAAGAAAAGACCCCCAAATTCGACAAACAAGGTACCTTTTCCTGCATGAATGGCTGTGACAACTTCTTCCGCTCAGTGTTTTCTGAGCACAGGTGTAATTTTTCTTTTCCTTTTTAATCCAAGGTCCAAAAATACATATATGGTTTTTTCTGCGATTCAGGAGGATGGTTTAATTCCCTTCTGTAGCTTCTAGCTTTCTCACTTCCCACTTGACCAACACATGTTTGCTAGTTTTTTAAGCTGAAAGAACATGGATGAAATGTGATTTATTTTTTCCACTCCATAATTTTTTGCTGGCGCTTCATACCCACTTTACTTTCACCCTCAGGCACAACCTCTCTGTCTCATTCCCTACAAATACACAGTATTAAAACAATATCAGTTTAACCCCCCCATTTTCACTGTCCACTTTGCCACAGAATTTCACTTGTGGCAAATTTGGAGCTTCCTGAGGGAGTGAAACATCTGAGAGCTTTCAAGGGAAGCCAGAAAAGCGGCAGTAATAAGTCCCACGAAACTTCTCAGTGGAGGGGTTTCACTCGTCTTGGCTGTCTCCAAACTTTGCCCAGAGTGAAATTCTAGAAGAATTTTGGTGGTTTCTGCTTGCCGAAAACATCTGAAGAATTCTGAGGGAAGCAGAAAGAGTTTTGATAAGCAAGCATTTCTCAGGCAGGCTTTCAAACATTGCTTTGGAAGAGTTTGCCGGTCCACACGGACACGTCTCCAGACTCCCTTCCACACCACTAATGTTCCAACCTGTCCTGCAGCTTCTTCACTGACCCTCTTGAAGGGAATTAAGCCATCCTTGGACATGCCCTCCCTACAGCGGTTATACCTTACAGTGTGATTTTCAGTCTAAAGGAGGGTTACTATTATTATTGTTGTTGTTGTTATTATTTTAAACTACTTATATGTTTGTGAAAGTCTTTCTCTTCTCTTCTCCCTGTGACCGAATATCACATGACGTCACATCGTTAACGTCCTCCTGAGGCAGTCTTTTACCCTGTCCTCGCTTCTTGTGATCTCTCCTTCAGTTTTGAGATTAACCGCCACTGCCAATGACAACAAGGTCCATAATAGCACACAGTGGGCCCAATGGCCGCCGAGTGAAAACTTTCTGGAGGGCGAAAGTTCCACTAGGCCACCAGAGCGCCACACCACACACACACCGCTTGAGCCTAGGACATCACCACAGCATCCGCTGTACTATACATGCACTTCCTTCCCATGATGCTTCAGGGTACCACGCACCATCAATTGTGCATGGGGTTTTTCACAGTGTCAGTACACAACAGAGTCTATCCGGGAGGTTGGTCTCCATAGCAATGTACATAGCACACCACACACACGCCCATTCTGTGTAGCATATAATGTTGTCAGTGAGTAGTCCTAGTAGGTTAAACTGCATTTTAGTCGAAACACACAGACAGTTATATATAGGTAGTGTAGTCCGTCCCGTTCCCCCGCCACAAACCTTTTTTCCCGGTGTCTTTTCTCAACGTTGTGTACATTCTTTCAAAAAACTGCAGCAACAACCAAAAAAATATATGACACAGTTAAAAAAAAAAGTTAATAATAAAAGACTGACATTTCTGTACAGTGCTGGTCTCCTTTCTGTTAAGGGATCCTGTCACAAATAAAGCAGCCGATATATACTTAAAACCAGGGGTCATTTTGTAGAAAAAGAGGTGCAGGAGCTCATTAGCATAACTTATTTGCATATGCCACACACCCTGACATCACCGGAAGTGTCAGAAGGCAACACCCACCGCTCAGGCTCCACTGGACTGTTTTGGATTGCTAGCTATTGGGGGGGGGGACGTGTAGTGTTTATACAGGATGAGCAGATCTGTCCTCGCAGAGGAGGGAGAGCTTGTACCTGAATAAAACTTGGTCTTAAAGGTGCCACTGGACTGTTTTGGACCGGGGGGGCTCTGCAATTTACCTGGCTGCTGCTTGCTCTGACTGAGGGTTGCTGGGAGCAGGGGGTGGGGCCTGTTGCATGTGCCTGCCCCCTGGGCACTTTACTGCCGGAGCTTTGCTCCTGTGCGCTCCTGCAGGAAATGACCCCTGGGTAACTCTAACTTAGAAGAAGGTTGAAAACTGAAACAAGCAGTGCTCAAAGCACCACAGTGGCCTGGGACATCTTCCAATGGGACATTTGTACATCTCTCCCACAAAACAGGATGTGAAGGGCTATGCCCCACAATGACTTCAGTCAGGGGCTTGTTGCATGTGCCCGCCCCCTGGGCTCTTTACTGCCAGAGCTCTCCTCCTGTGTGCTCCTGCAGGAAATGACCCCTGCTTAAAGCAGAGTATGGCAACATGGGGACCATGGGCAAAGGAAAAGAATATCACTTGGTCTGAACCAGCGGTCCCCAGCATTTTGAGCCTGCAGGAGGCATTGGAATTGACACAGCATGATGGGTACGGCCACAAAATGGCCGCCACAGCTCACCTTCATCAACATAGTGAAGATCCTTTTAAATTTTTTTTTAAATTTTCTTAACTTTATATCAACAGTAAAATTGCTTACATTGTCAATACAATAAAGATAGAATAGGTTGAACAGTAAAATAACCGAACTGAAAAAGAAAGAAATAATTAACTATAGTTTATGCTATAACAACTTAGTTTAACAATAAAAATAACGTGAGTACAGTATTAAGGATCAAAATACTGCTATAATGTCTTTATATCTTGTGTTGTGGTGGGAACTGCTGCCAAAGCAACATTTTAAAAAATCTGTACAGCGAATCAAATCTCCATTGACCAATCAGAAGCTTTGAGGGGCACCAGAAGCTCCACCTGGCCCTGCCCACTTTCTAAAAACAGTGAAGAAGAAACTGTATGTATATCCCGCCCTTCACTACCTGAACGAGTCTCAAAGCAGCTTACAATCTCCTTTCCCTTCCTCTCCCCACAAGAGATACCCTGTGAGGTAGGTGGGGCTGAGAGAGCTCTGAGAGAACTCGTGACTGACCCAAGGTCACACCAGCACCTGCATGTGGAGGAGTGGGGAATCAAACCTGGTTCTCCCAGATTAGAGTCCGCGCACTTAACCACTACACCAAACTGGCTCTAGTGGGCACCAGGAAAGGTGGTGCCAGGTATCATGGCTAGGGTTGCCAGCTCCAGGTCGGGAAATAGATGGAGATTTGGTAGGTGGAGCCTGAAGACGGTGGAGTTCGGGGTGGGGAGGGACGTCATAGGGACATAATGACATAGCCTACCTCCCAAAGTGGCCATTTTCTCCAGGCAAACTGATGTCTGGCACCTGGACATCAGCTGCAATACCAGGAGATCTCCAGCCACCATCTGGAGGTTGGCAACCGTAACCATGACACCCATAGGCACCATGTTGGGGACCCCTGGTCTAAACTAAGTGGCACTACCTGAAGGAGTCTCAGACTGGCTTACAATCTCCCCACAGCAGACACCTTGTGAGCAATGCTCCCTCTAAGCTGTGGAGTCTTGTGAGCAAAAATTCTCCTTTGTGAGCTACTGGCATTAAACCTGTTAGCGAGCGATTTGGCTCCTGCATAAATCAGTGTGCTTTGGAGCCATCCTTCCTGAGCTAAGACCAAAATGTGTGAGCCAGAGGCTAAAAAACTGTGAACTAGCTCACGCTAACTCAGAGGGAACACTGCCTGTGAGGTAGGTGGGGCTGAGAGAGCTCTGAGAGAACTGCCCTTGAGAGCACAGCTCTGAGAAAACTTGTGACTGACTCAAGGTCACACCAGCAGCTGCATGTGGAGGCGTGGGGAATCAAACCTGGTGCTCCCAGATTAGAAATTAAAAACAAAACAAAAACTTGTGACTGACTAAAGGTCACACCAGCAGCTGCATGTAGAGGAGTGGGGAATCAAACCTGGTGCTCCCAGATTAGAGTCTATGCTCTTAACCACTACACCAAACTGGTTCTCTTGACCTTGTCCCTGTCATTCTCAGCCTCTGCTACCTCACAGGATTGCTGTGAGGATAAAATGGCAGATTCATGAATGCCTCCATTAATTCCTTGGAAGGAAGGTGGGATAAAAATGCCCTTAATCAATAAAAATCTCTCCAGTGTGCCCTTAGACTGAAAGTCTCCACCTCTCATACAACACGGTGCCCTAGTTCTGCCTAATGGTACTTCTAAAATTAAAAAACTGTCAACTCCGATCCCTTTCATCTTCACTTTGCAACATGATTTGCACGGTAGGGGAGAGAAGAGAAGACAACAAGAGACTGTTGTTTGAAACAAGGCGGGGGGTTGGGGTGGGGAGAAGAGACACTCTCCCTCAATACCCCCTCAGATTCAGGATTGTCACATTTATTAGGCAAAATAAGCAGGGCTTGGTCTTATTTTGGCAGATCATACAGAAATCTTAAATTTGCAGATCATACAGAAACCTTAAATAGGCAGCTAGTTAAACAAAAAGGGAACCCAGTTTAACTGAAGTAGGCATTTATTATTCTCTGACCATATAAAGGGATAGTTGCTGTTCATGTTCTAGTCATAAGGGGGCAGAAGTGAGCTTGTTTGGTTTGGGCGGGAAAAGTAAGCCTAGTCAATGGAAAATTCCACTCTGGTGATGTAAATGGTGACGTGTAACCTTGTTGCAGTATAAAAGCCTGGAGCCTGCATTGCTCTGGGTTCAGTCTGTTT